TCTGTTCCTTTTAAACACTGCATTTCACTCCACACTTGAAGGGATCGACACTCGCGTGCTTGTACCAAGGTAGTACGTTCACGACCAACCACAGCCGCCGGGTGATCTTCAGAGAACCCACATTCCATCCAGTCCCAAAACTGTCTGACCGACCAGTGGCTGCCATCTGACAGCATCCAACCCCAGCTGCACGTGTGACTCAAGGAGCAGTCCTGCCCTCTGGACTCGCCTCCGCCACGCCCCCCTCCCACTGCCCAGCTTGTTCCCACAGCAGGACCTTGGCTCCGGCTGTTCCCACTGCCTGGTGGCCCCTTCTCAGGTCCTCCCCCAACTTAGTCCTCATGCCACTCTGGGGTCAGCACAAACAGAGCTCCTACATGAGGCCTTTCTTGCCCACTGATCTGAACGCACCAGGCCACTCAGCCATGTCCTGTAGTTAGTTTTATTTCCATGTTTTTCTTTGATGTCCTTCATCTCTAGAATACATAGGAACCACCTGTCCAAGTCACCACTCCCCCGGTACAAAGGCCAGAGGTGCTCAGTACACACTAGCGGGGTCAATCAAAGTGTTCACAAAGAGTCCAGCTTTGTGGGGCCCAAGACAAAGCAACCTGCTCTAACAAGCCTCTCATGAGACTCTTTAAACAGGCCACCCCTTCCTCCCACCTGGTCACCGAGAGCTGCCACGGCACCGCCCGTGAGAAAACCAGCCCGCCACTCAGCCTTGGAGACTGATCTGCTCCTCACGGTCACCCACGCCAGAGGCCTCATGGTCAGGGTGCACCTCCCTGCCTGTGGCCAGCTTCCCCTTCAGGGGAGGACAAAACCATCTGTCAGCAGGATCATTCCAGAAAATGGAATCTCATCCCAATGACCTTTTGGAAAACTACCCCTAGACCTGGGAACCCCGTGCCATACAATCGAGATTCCAAACGGAGCAGAATAATCCAATAACCATTACTGTGCAAAAGGCCGGACACATTTACCTCACAGCATCACCCTGGGGACACCACAGGCAGTCCCTGACGCCAAGAGCCCATGGGCCACCTAATTCCCATCTGCTTCCTGGTGGCTGTCCAGCCATGCCCGCGAGCCTGGGTTCCCATCAACACATCGAGGGCGCTCTCTGCTTTAGTCGTTTACCAGGGTTAGTCTCTGTTGTTTGCGACCCGGGAAACCCCAATCGGCAGTCCCTCAGGAGTCCCCAGCTGGTGTTCAGCACATGGCCTCACCGGCATTCAGGCCTCTGGTCTTCTGGCTGCCAGAGCCATTTAGCCACATGGTCATCGGCCACCTCGGAGCATGTCACTCATCCCCAGTGGGCCAACAGGGAGGCCTGGTCCTCACAAAGACCCTCACCCCTCCTTCCAGCCTCTTCCCCCACTGCCCCTGGCCTCGGCCTCAGCTCCAGAGCTCCAACCCACAGCTGCCTCCTCAGCCCCAGATTTTGCTGCCCTCCCTCGGCACTGCAAGGCCAGCTAAGCCTGAGCACCACCACCTCCTCTAGACCCAGCTCGACGCTCCCTCCACCTCCTCCACTCACAGACGTGCATCCCAGTGCAGTCCACCTGCCCCCAACCTGTGAATTCCTGGATGACAGCCACTGGGTCATCCTCTCTCCATCCTGACCAAATAAATAACCAATAAATCTTTGTTAGGTGCTAAATGATTAAAAGCACCATTCACTTTGAAAACCCTGGGTTAGATGCAACAATTGTGCTTTCATTCTCCTCCTTCCACCCACTTCAGAATTGCCCTCAAATTGAGCATTCTGAGGAAGCGGTCAGTGCTCCGCCAATCTTGAAGGATGGGCTCGCTGCTTCAGAGCTGGGACTCGCGCTGCTTTAACAAGCTCGGAGGCCACCGCCGGCTGCACTGCCTGATGGCTCTCCATCACAAGGAGCCATCTCAGACTCTCTGGCTACCTTCCTGTAAGCCTCAAGTGAAGGGCAAAGAGGCCACCCATCTAATACCAACGTGGGCACAGACAGAGAATCTGAAAAATATTAATAGCACAGGTCTAATGAACCCAGGGTGGGCTCAAGCCCACACGGGGCTCCAGTAAGGTTGGGGAGTTCGCCTCTTCCTCAGACGGGCAGCACAAGTCACAGCTGCCCAGCACCCAAGTCTCCTCCTCAGATATGAGGAGAGTGATACAGACTCAGATTCACTCAATAAACACGGGTGGGGCACCCACAGTATGACTGGTTCTCAACAAGGCATGTCGGGGAAGAGCCCCACATCCCTGTGCAAATCATAGACAGGTGATGTGCAGAGTGCTCTGGGGGAGTCCGAAGCCCCAGCCCCTGGGGTGATCACCCTGACCCTCCACGGCTATTGAACTTCCCTTAGCTTCAGTTTTCAAATACGAAAAATGAGGAGTTCATGAGCTTGAATGTGTAAATGTGCCTGAAAGAGAGTTAGAGTCTCAGAATCAGGGGGCCTTCAGGGGCTTCCACGCTCAGTTCTATCGGAGCCAGAATTTTCCCCTAGATAGACTTCATGTTCCCTTCTGCCACCCAGCACGCTCTGCACAGGCCAGCAATCCCGGAAGGGGCTGGTATGGCCATCACTGCATATGTGGCCACAGACTCCAGGGCCAGCCACAACACCCCTCCAGTGCTGGTGACCCAGGGACACACAGTTCCTCCCAAGTCCTCTTGCTATGCAAACTCAGTTTATCAATTTCTACCCTGAAACCCAACCCTGCTGAGTACTTACGCACTGACCAGAGACCTCCCACTTGGAGATAAGTGTCAACCTCACCGAGGAGCAGCTGTTACTCACACGCACAGCACCTTGTCCCAATGCCACCATCGCCTCTTTCAGAGGAGAGGGAGTCCTGTGTCTCCATCCAATCTCATCACCATTTTCTCAAAGGAACCAGCTGATTTAATTATTTTCTTTCTACAAAGCCTTTGTCCTCCACCCTGACTGAAAGTCCAGAAACTAGTAATCGTTACTTTCAGAGTTCAAGGAAAGGTGACATCTTGGTGAACAATTCTAAGAGGATTTTGCTCTCCTCCAATAAAATATTCTCGGGATTGGATTTCCGAAGAGTCCTGTTTTCATTACTCCCCTTGGATATGCCCAGTAACCAGATTCCATGTCATGAACCAGCTTCATGGTGAAAACAGCCCCTCTTTACACAGCTACTGCTTTGGAAAACCCACACCCAGGCAGCGAGCTCAGACAGAGGGGCCCTCTGCAGGGTTCCAGCAGGCCATTCAGCTCAGGGTGGCCCCAGGGCCTCCCACCCAGTGCCTGAGGAACTAGCAAAGTTATGCAGTTCCTGGATCCTGGGAATGCACCCTTAACTGGACAAAGCAATCAAGCTTCCAGCCCAGGAGAAATCTGAATTGCCACCTAGACTTCAGTCAACAACTCCTGCACACAGGTAGAAATAAAAATGGCCTCCAGGAGCTTGGTGAGTAGCTCAGAGGCAGAAGCTTGCCTTGCCTGCAAGAGGCACTGTGGGGGATAAAGATCAACCCCGCCCTACATAAGGGGAATGGAACCCACCTGCAAGCCCAGGAGAGCTGAAGTTGCATTTCTATGAAAATCATGTCCTGCTCTGGCCTCAGGATAATTTCACACCAAATGGCCTTACAACCTCTTCCAAAGCTGTGATACCGGAATTGAGGGGAATTTTTTTTAAAAAAACCTTTGCAGCTGAAAAGTCAGTAGTTAAAGAAGCAGAACATAAGTTCTTCTATGTCCCCAAATCTGCCCATTCTTTCCAGGGAAGGTCATCTCAACTCTACTGCAGAGGCTGTGCGGGCCACTGTAGAATGTAGTTATTATCACCACTAATGAGACTAAAGCGTCGCACACAGCCTGCACCCGGCTGCCATTCTCTGAAAGTGTGTGTGTGTGTGTGTGTGTGTGTGTGTGTACCCGCGCCTGTCTCCCCCACCTACCTCCACCCCACGCCGCCCACCCCCCAAAAAACAGGCTCAGGGCCTGGGGATGGCGCCCCAGTCTTGGCACCCAAGGAACTGCAGGCATTGCTTCACCTGGGAGCCGAGGGCTGGGGCACAAATGGAAGAGAGGTGCTTTCCTCACACACTCCCAGTCCACGCAAAATAAGCAAAGGGAAGTAACACCGGGGCTGGGGGCCCAGGGCGCACGTGGCTGGCGCCTGGAGGGCTGGCCCCTGCCCTCCGTGCACCCTGCGCACCACCTGCCGATCCAGCCCCGGCCCGGGCCGGCCCAGAACTACCTGCTGCTGCCTGGGCGCCCTCAGGCCAAGTCTGAGGAAGTTCACTCCCCGTCGCGCCGGTCCGCGGAGCCCGGGCACCCGCGGAAACCCGGACCGTCCCGGAGAGCCGGCGGCCGACCCTGCCCGGGCGCTGGACTCACCAGGCTGCCGGGAGTCCGCAGCCAGCTCCCAGAGGGGCCTCCCAAAGCCTCCGGGTGACCCCGCGGGTCCCAGGGCCCACGGACCAAGGGCCGGCCGGCGCGAAGAGCGTGCGCCGGGAGGGCCAGCAGCCCGCGCTGGGGGCTGGAGATGAGGGCACCCTGCGTCCCGCCTCCCCCATCGCCATGACTCCGGCTTCCCGGAGACCTGCATGTCGCCAGAGCTCCCACCTGGGCTGCGCTGCGGCTCCCGGCCCCCTGCCCTGCCTTCCCACCGCCGGGCGCCCGCGGTCGGGGGCGCGCAGCCGGGTGGCCGCCGGCGCCGGGGACTCGGCGAGCTGTGCCCAGCCTCCAGCCTGCACGGTGCCGGGACACCCGAGTGAGCCGCAGCCCTGCCCCAGCCTCACGCCCCCGGGCGGCAGCCGGAGGCCAGCAGGGAGGGCAAGGTGGCTGCGGCGGCCCCCAGCCCGGCCGGCGGGTGCCGCGGGTGCCGAGTGTCGGTGCCAACAGGTACGGGAGGCGCTGCCAGCAGCCCGCCCGCCCACTCTGGGACAGGGGCCCGCCGCGGCCCGGTGGGGGCTCGGTGGAGAGGGGCGCGGGCGGAGGGAAGAGGCAGGGGAGCCGCGAGCGGCGGCACTTACCTCTCGCTGGGCCGGGGCCCCGCAGCCCGGCTGCCGAGGCGCCTCCGCGAGGCGCGGGGCTTCCTCCGAGGCCCGCAGGCAGGGGGCGGCGCGGAACCGAGGCGCCGAGCGCTGCGCCCGCCTCTGGCTCACACCCCCAGCCGGCGGCCGCGTGCCCGCGCCGGCATCCTTGCTGCCGCCGGCTCCCACCGCGCCCCCGGGCCGCTCCCCACGCGCGCGCCGGGCCGGCGCGAGCCCCTCGTCGGCTGGGAGCACGATCCGGGCGCGCTCCTCCTGTCCTTGTCCTCTGCTCCCGTCTGGGGACGTGCGCCCCGCACCCCCTGCACCGCGCACTCCTCTACCCCTCCCGCTCCCGCTGGCCGCGCGGGCTCAGCCCATGTGCGCGGCTGCCTCGCTGCGCCCTGGAGCCCAGTGGCCGAGGCCCCGCCGGAGTTGCGCGCCCTAGAAACTCCATGCAGCTCTGGCCTCCTCCCCGGCTCCTCCCTGGCGGCCCCGAGGCCTCGCGGCCGCCCGCACCACAACCCCCCGCCCTGCTCTTGCAGGAGCTGGGTTTCTGGGCCCGCTCCGCCGCCCGCCGCCCGGCTGCTCCGAGGGTCGGGGAGCCCCCACCCCAGCCCCTAGCCTCTCCAATGGCTCCCTCGGTTTCCAGGCAGCACAACCTGAGGAACGCCTTGGCGCGCGCGCACTCACACTAGCGCACACACACGCACTCTGCACATACAGACAGACACACGCGGGGGGCGAGCTGGAGCTTGGCAGACGGTGCTCCTTCCTTTCCTCCCCAAAGAAGCTGCCCACGTTAACTCCGGCAAACTGCTGTTTCTGGGCATTGGACAACTCACCCGAGCACCTACGACCTTAACTACTTCATCCCCAGCGCCCACGCCCTATGGCCACAATTCACCTGAGTCCGGTGCAGGGAAAGGGCAGAACACCAGGGTGGAAAGGCTAGCCGCACAAAGTAGAGGAGGAGGTGAATGACGGTGCCACCCCTGGCATGTTCTGGGGAGGCATGCCGCGCCAGCCAACCTCTGATCCCAGCCCCCTGGAGCCCGAGCACACATGGTGTGGCCCCCACGTCCTCCAAGGTCACAGAATGAATTTTGTGAGGGAGAGAAGGCTCTTGGGTGCAGGTGAGAGCTGGACATCTCACAGACCACAACCTGCCCTGGCGTTGACCCCCTCAAGTCTCTTCCCAGGCAGACCATTGTCTCCCCTGCCCCATGCCTCAAGGGAAAACAGCCTACAGTCACCATTTACCTCCCCTGTTCCCATCTGTCTCCCTCCCTGTGCCCAGGAACTGACAGAATACACAATGCCACCAAGGTGTGTGTTGTCAGGAGAAAAATGGAAATCCCAGGCTGTCTCAGCTCATCCACAGACAGACTCAGACACCTGCCAGTTCCTTCCTGTTCCTTGCAGGGGTGTGCTGGAGCAGGTTAGTCTTTCCCCACACCACCCCCCTTTCCAGGGTCCCAGTTTCTTGCCCCCTCTGTGCGGTAGAACGACTGCTCACCAGCTCAGATGCCTCCACTTCCCAGAATCAAAGAAAAGACACATGCAAAGCAGGCCGCGTGGCTCTAAGCCGCTCCTCCAGGCAGCTCGGCAATCGCCTCTCCACTGCCTGCTTCAGCTGCCAAGGGAATTCGGGCATGGGCATTGCCAACCAGTGACACAAGTTAGTCAGGGTGCCCTCCTGTCTGTGCTTCTGGCTTGCAGCATGGGCAAGTTCTGACTCCCTGTAGTGCTCTTTGCAGGCACTACATGGTCGGCATTTAGTGTTTGCTACCACATCTCTTATGGTCCAGACCCTCCTTCCAAATTATCACCTTGGGCCACTGGTTGAGTTTTATGGACCTAGTTCAGAGATGTGCATAGAAGAGGTTTCCATAAATGGTTTCAGGAAGAGGAATAGAGTTCAAGTCTCCATATGATCTTTCTCTCTGAGTCCTTAGTTTGCATAACAGCTCCATCTTCCAACCATGGGCTGCCTCTGTAAGAAATTGTTTTGTTAGGGCTGGGGATGTGGCTCAAGTAGTAGTGCGCTCTCCTGGCATGCATGAGGCACTGGGTTTGATCCTCAGCACCACATAAAAATAAAATAAAGATATTGTGTCCACCTAAAGCTCAAAAATAAGTATTTTTTTTTAATTATTTTGTAGCTGGATTTAGCACAAGTACTCCCTCCAACCAGAGCCCTGTGGCAAGTCCATAGATATACATGGAGGTCCTGGTAAAACGAAGAGGCCACCCATGTACCCAGGATTGGGCACATCAGGCCTGCATTCTTAGTCTTCCCTCCCTTAATGCCAGTGTGAATCTGTACATCTGATTTGCTCTCTTTAAATCTCACTGTCCTCATCTGTAAAACGGGGTCCGTTATAGGACCAGTCCTACGACGTCCTTGTAAAGACTCAATGTGCTCATGTGAAATGACAGCTCACTCAGATAGCTCAGGTTCAGGCATGAAGCAAGCCTTCAACAAAGGCCACTATCAGTCAGCAGTCGACACACATCAAAGACATTACCTTGGGAGGAAAAAAATCAAGGATCTCTTGCCCCAGAACACTAGGCTCAAGGACCTCAGGACCTAGAGAGGCAGGGTGAGAGAGCCCTGGATAGGCATGGCAGGTGCCGTTTCTCTGTCCTCACCAACTAGGACCACCCTGAGGTTTCCAGGTGAGGGAGCCGCGGGTTCACAGGCCCTGACACTCTGCTCCAACTCATCTCATACATATCCTTCCAATGAAAGTGCCAAATAAAATATTTTACTAATTACAGAATGGAGGCGAAAATCAACATAGAGCAAAAAGAATAGAAGGGAGTTCCCTTTATCACGCCTTTGTAGCTGGATTTAGCACAAGTACTCCCTCCAACCTAAAATAACTCAGCCCTCCAGGAAACAGCTCGGAGTAGACTTTGTAACTTAGTCCCCCCCTGCCTGAGCTTTGAGCCCAGCGTCACACAGTCAGACATGGGCAACTGCTACCTCCCCAGGGCGGATCATTCTCTGAAGGGGCCAAAGTCATTCCCACCTCTGGTTCTCCTCCCCTATCTACCTTTTCTTTTTTGCTTTGTCATCAATCAATACATCTACTTCAAGTGCCTGAGACAGGCAATGGGAGATGGTGATGAAGGGACCCACTGCACTCTGAATAGAAATAGAAATTTTAAAAGTCCTTGAGCTACAGGATATGTATATGCTGGAGGGTGATGATTTTCCTACACTTCGTCCAAGCACGGAATATGGACCGCTTTGGGTTCTTCATAACACACATTCCTGGCTTCATGGCCAGAGGTTTAGGAGAGGTTTGTTATATAACAGCAGGTAATCACAACAAAATTTAATATCTGGGGTTAGACTGCTGCTGTGACGAAAACTCAAAGCCCTGGCTATGAAGCTGGGTGATGAGTGAAGGCTCCAGGTGCCTGAGACCAACAGTGGAGGTTGCAAGGGCCTCCGAAGACTCTTGGAGACTCAGAGGACATGGAGAAAACCTAATGGAAGCTAGAAACAGTGCCCGAGTCATGTCCTGGCAGGACAACTGGCAGGACTGTCATCCGTGTCAATGAAGTACATAGAAAGGGTACCTGATGAACTCCTGGATCTGGAGAGGGCAGTTTCCACGCAGGAAACAGAAGATGCTAACTGAATTTTTCTAGGTGCCTGTGATAAAGGCTAAGCAGAGAGAGATTAACTGAGGAAGAGGCTATTCCGTCCTTTTGTAGGAGAATCAAGAAAAAACAAAAGGGAGCCAGAAGCCACTCCCTGGAGGAGCATCTCTTCTTCATGGTCATCTATCCCCGCAGAAACCCTCACACCCAGGGCAGTGACGTCTGGTTTCTGGATAAAGACTAGGTGGGGGACAAGGCTGTGAGATTCAAGAAGGCATCAGGCATGTTCAAGGGAGGGCTGAAGAACATCTCAGAATCTTAAAGCCTGCAGCCTCCCAGGGGACTAACAGCGGAGCAGTTCCTGTTCTCACAGAGATTGGAACATGTGGCTTATACAGCAAGAGGCACGAGATTCGTCCCCAAGTAGCAGGACCAGACCCCAATTAAGGTGCCGGTGACACCATCCCAAGTGATTTCCGAATGGCTGTGAACCGGTGACTGCCACAGGACGCCTCTGCTTTCTCCCTGTCTGACCCGAGCATCTGGGCAGGTATTGCATTTCTGCCTCACCATGTATGTTGAGTGTTCAGAGAACAAAAGGGAAGAGAGCACTTGTTTCTTCAGATAACAGATCTTCACACAGACTGTCCCCCACCTCATCCCGCTTGGACAATGAGACCCGGGGCCCTCAACCTGGACCTGAGGCTGCAATGAGGTGAGACTCCCTGAGGCTTGGGGACGTTCCTGGGTATGTTTCAAGTCGGAAGGATGCAAATAGTTTTTGGCCCAGGCTGTTTCTGACAGTGTGAATTAAAGATAGCCATAAATTCTCTGACATTTCCCTTATGGAGCGTTGAGATCTGCATCTCCTCACCCTTAAATCTGGACAAGATCCATGACTTCTTTATGGATGAAGAGAGTCTTTGCGAGCTTCTGGTGGCCGGAACTCAGGCAGCTCTGAACTTCCTCCTCCTGTTCACAGAGCACGCTTCTTCCAGCCCCAGGCCACCCTGTGGGACGTCCACACACCCCAAGACCACCATGCTGAAGGACAGCCCAAGCTAGCTTTGTGAGAGGTCGTCTGGAGAGAGGGAGCACCAGAGGAGGGAAGGAAAGAGAGAGAGAGAGAGGCAGGGGACACGAGAGGGGTGTGTCCAGCCTGTCCCAGCTACCTAGCCCCAGCCAGCTGGCCGGGGAACCTTCTGACCTGAGGCCTCAGGGGCTATAGGGAGGGACAAGCCATGCTGCAGTGCCCTTCAGAATTCCCAAGGCACGGAGCTGGATGAGGTAGTGAGAAGTTGCTTATTAAGCCACTTAGATTTTGTGTGATTTGTCTTTCAGCCACAGATAACGAGGCAAATTTACTGAAAAACATGTCAAAAATATACTTTGAGGTGGAAAAGCTAATTGCAAAATAATATACATGGTGTTGTTTTTAAAAAAGAGAGTTTGCTCTCTGTCAACCACGTGCACGGGACGTATTTGCCCGGAATGTAATGGGAATGGTCTCCGTGAACCAGTCATTCTGGAGAACCAGGATCACAGGGGCCTCTGCTTTTTAGATGAGCAGATATGAAGGCTCTACAATTCTGTTCTACCATAAGAACATTTTTAATACTGGCTTTATTTTTTTAATGAGGAAAAAGTTCTTCGCTAATTTTATTTCAAG